TTAGGATTTCTTTCTCCCTACATATTGACTGGAAAACAAGTTCTTCAAGAAATGTGTAAGCGTGGTGTTGGATGGGATGAACCTGTTCCACCTGCATTGGAAAATAAATGGAAGGCATGGCTCTGCGATTTGGAAAATCTTTCGAGGATACAAATACCAAGATGTTTCATTCCAGAAAACATTGGAACAATCCAAAAAATTGAGCTGCATCATTTCTCAGATGCTAGCACTTGTGGTTATGGCCAGTGTTCATACCTAAGAGTTGTAGCAACAGACAAAGTACACTGTTCATTAGTCATGGCAAAGGCCAGAGTAGCACCCACAAACGTAGCTACAATACCACGTCTTGAGCTCACTGCGGCTGCAGTCTCCGCAGGAGTAAGTCATTTTCTGAGATCAGAGTTGGATCTTAAGATAGATGAAGAGGTTTTCTGGACAGATTCCAAAGTGGTGCTTGGATACATAAAAAATGAAGCCCGTCGCTTTCATGTGTTTGTAGCAAATAGAGTGCAGAAGATCAGGAATCTTACAGACCCAAAACAATGGTTCTACATCGAAACGGATCAAAATCCAGCAGATCACGCATCCAGAGGACTAAAGGTGGCAGAGCTTATTGATTCAAACTGGCTCACTGGACCGGAATTTCTATGGGAGCGAGAGCTTTTCACGAAAACCAACCCTTGCTTTCCAGAACTTTTAATTGGAGACCCTGAAGTGAAAGTTCTTCAAACAAATACCCAAGAAAAAGACTACTTCCTTAAAAGGTTCACAAGATTTTCTGACTGGAATACAGCCCTCAATGTTGTGGCGAAGATAAAGAGACTCACAAAAAGAGACAAAACAGGTCCTGTTAGTGTTGAAGAGAGGCTAGCAGCATCTGTAGTACTCATTAAAGCAGCTCAAAGGGAAGCTTTTGAACAAGAGTTGAAACATTTGAGTCAGGACTCAAACCAATTGCCCAAAAGTTCCAAGTTGTATCAACTTGACCCTATTCTTGATCAGGATGTACTGAGAGTAGGAGGCAGATTGTGAAAAAGTACTGTTTCATTTGAAGTGCGACACCCAGTTATTCTTCCTAAGGAAGGGGTTGTCACTCGGCTGATAGTTGACTATTATCACAAGAAAACTCAACATCAGGGTAGAAACCAGACTTTGAATACATTGAGAGCCAATGGTTATTGGATTGAAGGTGCCAGCAAGGTAGTGGCCAAACATATTAAGAGTTGTGTTACATGTAGGAAGGTGAGAGGATCAACAGAAGAACAGCGCATGGCAGATTTGCCATCAGACAGAATAGATCCGTCCCCGCCCTTTACGTACACCGGACTAGATTGTTTTGGTCCCTTCCACACGAAACAAGGCAGGAAAGAATGCAAACGTTATGGACTTTTGTTTACATGTTTAAGCTCAAGAGCCATACACGTAGAGATGTTAGAGGATCTTTCCACTGATTCGTTTATAAATGCACTGAGATGCTTTATTGCGATCAGAGGAGAAGTGAGAGATTAGGTCCGATCAAGGAACAAATTTTGTCTGAGCTAATAACGAATTCAAAAGATGTCTTTCCGAACTAGACAATGACAGGATTGCTACCTACTTAGCTAAAAAACAATGTGACTTTCAGATGAACGTTCCCGATGCCAGTCACCGAGGTGGTGTTTGGGAGCGCCAAATCAGAACAGTTAGGAGTGTTATGAGTTCTGTTCTGGCACAAGCCGCTGGAAGGCTTGACGATTCCTCCTTAAGAACTATATTTTACGAGGCAATGTCAATCGTAAATAGTCGTCCACTTACCACTGAGACAATCAATGATCCAACAGATGTCTTACCTTTAACGCCTAACCATTTACTCACCATGAAGGATGCAGTGCCCCTTCCACCTCCAGGTAGATTTGTCAGAGAAGATTTATATGCCAGGAAAAGATGGCGCAGAGTTCAGTATCTGACAGAGCAGTTTTGGCATAGGTGGCGCAAAGAGTACTTAAACATTATCAGTTTAAGACAGCAGTGGCATACATCCAAAAGGAATGTACAGGTTGGAGATGTAGTTATACTCAAAGAAGACAACATCCCCAGAAATGAATGGAAACTTGCAAAGGTAGTTCAGGCTAACCCAGATGATGATGGTTTAGTGCGAAAGGTTAAGATCCAAATGGGACAGAGAGCGTTAGGAAAGAATGGTCAACGCTTAAAAGAATTGTCTTTTCTCGAACGACCAGTTCAGAAACTAGTGGTTCTAGTGCAAAACGAGTGAAATGTTCAATAGTAAATATAGAGTTCAGAGATTTTTTATGGTCAAAGTTTTGAAAATTACTACATTTTATTTTGTGTAAATACAAAGATTTTCTGTAATTTTGGTGGCAGTGTAGCTGTCCGTGAACATTTTTGTTTACATGTATCTTTATTCTGTATATAATCTGTTTATAATAGTGTATTTATTGTGTGTCGCTTCTGACCTCTTGTGGTGGAGTTGTGAACTTGTATTACCTGTGCAATATGCGCATGCGCGCATTGGAGCCATTACGTGAGAGACAGAGCGAGAGAATGGCGAAAAGGATGGACAAGGTAACCTTGTGCTGAACCGAAAGTAAGGATATGGACAGCGAAAAGTACTGACAACTCCAGAGTGTCTAGATAGAAGGCGCACACGGTAATTGTATATTGTTTTATTGTAAGTTTGTTGAATATGTGTGTATTTTGCTAACAATGTTTTTTATGCACCGTAGTTTTTCACGGTGTTTTAGGTGGCTTTGTTGTAAATAAATGTCAACTAAACATCAGTCAGAGCGTCGGCCTTTTATCCAAGCAATAATTTCTGGAGCCGTTATATATAGTGTTTTCTACATATCCTGGTCATTTTTTTAAATGAGAGAAATTAGAGAAAATTTCACTTTTGAGCTTAAAAACGTCTCTCTACCTTTTTGGTGGCACTACATCTGAGTTTTGGTCCTGGCCTCTCATTGGCTCTGGAATACTGTGTGATGTCATTTTGTATGTGTGACGTCACGTGCGTCTCTGAGTGGTATAAACCCATCCAACTCACACACGCCCCAGTAGCAGGTTGGAGTGCTCTGATATCTAGTGGATTAATATTAAATTGCATCAATTGACAGCCACCACTTCTGAGATTATTCTATGGCTTAGGTTCAGGTGTGTAGTATTTTAGTGTGTAAACAAAGGTGGAATGAGACTTTCTGGTGTCTAAACTATTGCTTTATGTATCATTGACAACTGTCAGTTTTTGTGTGTGACAAGCGAGCTGTCAATCACAGCCCAGACCACGCCCAACTCTAAGCCCCCCCTTCTTGTCCCCTGGTCCTCGGGCAACGCCCTTTTTAGAGAAAATTTTCGAGTGTTCACGTGGGCGGAGTAAGGCTGGGCACAGGTGTTTAGTCGCTTACGTTTCTCTTCCTGTTTACACCAGACGTCTGTGGGCGACAACTGGAGCGCGCTTTGGATTAAAGAGCAGAAGCGCTAAGAAATAAAGGAGAATGAAAAGTGTGGCGTACGAGCAGGGGTCTGGAGCCAGGCAGGATTCAAAGTTATGTTGGAGTGGTCTGGCGGTTAAATAAAGTCTGATTCTTGAAGCTAAAGTGTTGTTACAATAGCCCCTGGAGCGACACACTCCCCTGCGCCCCTCGACCACAGTCCGGGGGCTCACATGAAAGGTGTAACAGAGAATACGAAAGTATGTGACTGCAGCTGGATGACGTAATGTGACGCACAATATCAAGTCCCCACCACACCTCATTCCCCACTCCCCACATTGACCTTCATCTGGTCTTCAGAACCGTGCCCAGGCCCACTTCTCACGGCCACATAGCCCCTAAAGCCCGGATCTTTGTACAAAAAAGGCTGACATTCTTAACATCCAGCAACAACAAACGTGCTTGGGCACGGTTGAGAGAGATGGGCCTGAGCACGGCTCTAAAGCCCAGATGAGGGGGACAGGTGTGGTAGGGACGTGATATAGTGCTTCACATTACGTCTTCCTGCAGTCGCATACTTTTCGCATTCTCCCTTGCTTGCGTAAGGCCATGTTCCCCCCGAATCATGCGTTTATGGTAAGTTTCAGTGCAAAGTCAATGGGGATGTCCATCCATGCGAGAAATTGTATGTACAGTACCTCGCAACATGCAGTTTAGTCCGGTGCAGCAGAGGGAGTGGAGTTAGTATTAGCGCCACCAGCTGGACCAAGTGTTGAACATCACACGCTCGATGCACACGGCGGGAATTATTTTTGGCCATTGTTGTTTTTGTTTGTTCTCGGCTACTGTGCATCTCCAAATGTATGTACGAGGAGGTCATAGCAGCCAGAGAACTCACACAGCTGTTCTGTTCCGCTCTGGAGGCTGTTTCTCAACGCTTGCGTTTTCACCTGAAACACCGTCTCCATGTAAATGAAAGGCCAATCAGACACCAACTCTACCGTTTTACTGCGCAGCATCCTTGTGTAAACAGCACTTTAAACAAATGATTTAAAATGAAAAAAAGACACAAAACTTAAACTTAGACTCTCAGATTTACTTTTGACACTTTGTACAAAAAAGGCTGAAGTTCTTTAGATCCAGCAACAACAGAAACAAAGAAAGTAAACAGTCTCTGTGGAAACACTGCAAAAACTCCATCTGCAGGAGGTTCAGGCAAAACTGAAACTACAGCAGTCGTCTGGGTCTGCGTTCTTAAATGGTTTTAGCAAAAAGACCCTGTGGAAGATTTGCTTACGGGCCTCAGCCTCTCGGGGGCCTCAGCCTCTCGGGGGCCTCAGCCTCTCGGGGGCCTCAGCCTCTCGGGGGCCTCAGCCTCTCGGGGGCCTCAGCCTCTCGGGGGCATCAGCCTCTCGGGGGCATCAGCCTCTCGGGGGCCTCAGCCTCTCGGGGGCCTCAGCCTCTCGGGGGCCTCAGCCTCTCGGGGGCCTCAACCTCTCAGGGCCTCAGCAGTGAGTTGGAGCAGGTCCAGTCTGAGCGTGTCGATGCAGTCTGTTTCCATGACGATGGTCTTTAATCCTTCTGTAACCTGTTGTGAACAAGACGCATTCAAGAGTGCGGACAGGCAGACACGCCCCAGCTTCCGATAACTGTACCTCTGAGAGAAGCAGTATATCTGAGGCAGCTGCGGCCACAGCCTGCCGTCGCCACAGTGCAGCGCTGCGCCCGCACACTTTCTCTTGCGGGTCTTAGAGTTCAGACAGACGCCTGTGCTCCTCACGCAGTCCGAAACCTCTCTCTGCGTCAGCGCCTCCAAGCGAGCGACACAGAGCTGCTCCAGATCAAAGCGCAGGCCGTCGGCAAGGAAGCGGCAGGCGCCCGTCATGGCGGCGCACAGACGCGAGTGCAGGAAGCGAGCTTCTTCCTCTGTGGTCAGATGCAGAGCACAGTAGTGTGAGCTGAGGCGGCAGCCGTGGAGCTGGTGCAGGACCGGGAGGAGCTCGGCGGCGGTCACGTCTCTGATGCGGACAACGTCTGCGTTAGCTTCTCTGAACGTGCCGCTCAGGAGCGCACGGAAATACTGGCTCTGCTCCCCGGATACTGCAACGCGATTGGCCGACAAAGTCTCGCCGTTGTCCAATAGGAACGTGACGTCATGCATGCAGTCCTCGTAACAACAGGGCAGGGGGCGGGGCTTCTTAGCGTCCGGAGACGGCGGGGCATCAGGGCATATGCGGGCTGCAGAGAGCGCAGTGAGTGCACTGAGGCAGGTAGCCAGCAGGGGGAGGTAAAGCGCACGCAAAGGGCACTGAGGGGAGGGGGGAGGGGGCTGGTCCCAGTCTGTGTCGCCCCCTAGAGGCTGAAGAGCCAAGAGCAGACCACCACCATCTAACAAGAGCTTCTTCAACAGACTCTTATTACTGCAAGAGAGAAGACAAGATACACATGAGACCAGAAAGAAAGAAGAGGGCAGAGAGAGAGAGCAGGGAGAAAGAGCAGAGAGAGAGAGAGCAGAGAGAGAGGAAACCAGAGAGAGAGCAGAGGTAGTTTCCCTCTGTGTGTGTACCTGGTGAGCAAAGGCAGGCAGAGGGCACTGTTGAGCCGGTCGCTCTCTGGTCCAGACAGCAGCAGGTGAGACAGGACTCCGGCTCCAAACGTCCCCTCACATTGAAGCTGTAGGTTACTGAGCAGAGTGAGACCTGAGGACAGAGGACCAACATGAACCTTAGATCATAGAGAGACCAGAGAGAGTCCAGAGAGACCAGAGAGAGACCAGAGAGAGACCAGAGAGAGACCAGAGTAAGACCAGAGAGCGAGAGACCTGAGAGAGACCAGTGAGAGACCACAGTTTGTATTTTAGAGTGTATGATGGGAGACTATGTTCTGCTATAGCATGAAAGAATCATGTTCTCTGTATAAGAAAAAAATTCAGATGATTGAAGTGATTACCGAGCTGCCGCACTTTGGCCCTGATGTGTGGGCTCTGCGTTGGATCCTCCCCCTCTCTCGGACGCTGCAATGGCTCCTCCCCCTCTCTCGGTCTCTGCGTTGGCTCCTCCCCCTCTCTCGGTCTCTGCGTTGGCTCCTCCCCCTCTCTCGGTCTCTGCGTTGGCTCCTCCCCCTCTCTCGGTCTCTGCGTTGGCTCCTCCCCCTCTCTCGGACACTGCGTTGGCTCATCCCCCTCTCTCGGTCTCTGCGTTGGCTCATCCCCCTCTCTCGGCCTCTGCTTTGGCTCCTCCCCCTCTCTCGGTCTCTGCGTTGGCTCCTCCCCCTCTCTCGGTCTCTGCGTTGGCTCCTCCCCCTCTCTCGGTCTCTGCGTTGGCTCCTCCCCCTCTCTCGGTCTCTGCGTTGGCTCCTCCCCCTCTCTCGGTCTCTGCGTTGGCTCCTCTCTCTCCCCTCTGCACAGCCGCAGCTGCACCATGGCGGCTGCTCCGCTGCGCACCAAAGCGTGCAGACAGTTGGGGTTGAGGCTGAGGCGTAGCAGGAGCCTGAAGCAGCGTGCGCTGGGGTCGGGGTGCTCACTCACGTAGGTCAGAAGCCCCCACAGCACAGCGGCACTCCCCAAGGCGGCTGCGGGGTCCGGGACATGGGAGAAACGTGACAGCAGCAGCAGGATGGGAGACTCTGCGGTCCAGGGCTCAGGGTGGTACGGGTGGTAGGGAGGCGGACGAGAGGCCGAAGCTGAAGGAGGTGTCTGGATGCTCAGTCTGAGCAGCGGAGGGCGCTCTCGTGACCCACGCCGCTGTGGAGAGCACAGCCTGAACTTAGATGGAGACACAGGGGACTTGGCAGCAGGAGGAGCAGAGGAGGAGGCGGCTTTGGGAGTGGAGGAGGAGAGAGGAGAAGGAGGAACAGGTATGGGACTCGACGAACCCGTGGCTGAGGTAGCAGCAGAGGAGGTAGTAGCAGCAGTAGTAGTGATAAGAGTGGTAGCAGTGGTAGCAGCAGCAGCAGTGTTGTTGGCTGGAGGAGTGGGCAGCTGCAGTGTGCTCCAGTCCGTCTCAGTGGTGGAGGAAGATTCCAGCAAATCTCCCTCAGACGAGATGAGGCCTTCAGACAGCAGCCAGGACCTGAAACAAGGAAAGAATAAATATGATCACATTTGGTCTCTCTCTCTGGTCTCTCTCTCTGGTCTCTCTCTCTGGTCTCTCTCTCTGGTCTCTCTCTCTGGTCTCTCTCTCTGGTCTCTCTCTGGTCTACCTGAGGCTGAGAAAGCTGGAGGAGCAGAGCGCCCCCTTCTTCTCTTCGGGTGCAGGGAAGTCAAATGAGGTGCTGCAGTCCCGCGCCGTGTCTGCAGGGGGGGTGATGCTCCGGTCTTTACATGCACGCACCAGCCGCTGCACCAGCACCTGCACAAGCCCTGCCTCCTGTAGCGTCTCCATGGCAACCTCGTCAAACACAAAGTCCACGCAGGCGGAGATGGCCAGTCTGTGCGAGAGAGAAGATGGAGCAGTGTTACAGACTGTATACAGATGGACCAGGGGTCAACAACCCTATGCCCGCTGGCGCACGGTTGCCTGCACGGACCACAACGGCGACTGCGAAGCGCATGAGATATAGTATCGGTCCTGGAGCCTGTGGAGCTCGTTTTTTGAGCAGATACATGCAGTCTACGCAACCGATGCAAGTCTGAGCTCTGTTTTGATCTTTAAAGAGTCAAAAAAGACTTCGTATTCAAAAGTGACATGAGCCCCTCAAGAGTCCGGTCTGTGAGCGAGACTGTGGAAAATACTATTTCTATCATTGATGCACTTTCCTCAAGTTTAATAAATAAAGCAGTAAGCTGAAATAAACCAGGACTGAACCAGGACTACATCTTTAGTGGTTATTGCGTACCCCAAATTTAACCGGAATCAACACTGGTGACCATAAAACAAGAGTCTAAATAACATCCCTCTTCAACTATTACATATCATTTTGAGTCTAATAATCAAACTTCCTAATCCATCTTAAAAGAAAATTAAGTATGAGTTTTTAAGAGTTTTTAATTCCCCATTTTTGACCCATTTGTGTAATGCACAATTCATTTCAATTCAACAATATATATTATATATTATATTTGGTCATCTTTGTTCCTTCGGCTGTCAGACTGTACAACAAACCTGGATGAGTCATCTGCTGCTGGACACCTGAATTTCTCCTACGAGGGATCAAGAAAGTATCTACCTATCTACAGATGGGCAATGCTGATGGTCTCACCTGGTCAGTTGATGGTCCTGGTGCTCAGAGAGGAACCATGTGAGCAGTTCCAGTCCTCCACACTCCTTCACTTTGACTCTGTTCACAGCTTCTTTGCAGCAAAGACACAGAGCTCTGAGGAACAGGGAGGACTTCAGGAGGTCCTGCTTCACCTCCTCACAGAACCTGCACCAGGACGACCTCAGCGTCAGTGAGAATTAAATCCATTCTGTTCAGTGTCACCATATTTTGTGCACACAATTAAACGAATCCAATAGAACAAAGTATTGTAATATTTAAATAAATAACAAATAAATAACTTTAGTGATTTCCGAGTTTCCATCTGAGGTTTTTGTGACTATGACGTCTGCTTGTTCTGACTCTATGACGTCTGCTTGTTCTGACTCTATGACGTCTGCTTGTTCTGACTCTATGACGTCTGCTTGTTCTGACTCTATGACGTCTGCTTGTTCTGACTCTATGACGTCTGCTTGTTCTGACTCTATGACGTCTGCTTGTTCTGACTCTATGACGTCTGCTTGTTCTGACTCTATGACGTCTGCTTGTTCTGACTCTATGACGTCTGCTTGTTCTGACTCTATGACGTCTGCTTGTTCTGACTCTATGACGTCTGCTTGTTCTGACTCTATGACGTCTGCTTGTTCTGACTCTATGACGTCTGCTTGTTCTGACTCTATGACGTCTGCTTGTTCTGACTCTATGACTTCTGCTTGTTCTGACTCTATGACGTCTGCTTGTTCTGACTCTATGACGTCTGCTTGTTCTGACTCTATGACGTCTGCTTGTTCTGACTCTATGACGTCTGCTTGTTCTGACTATGACGTTGCTGCTTGTTCTGACTATGACGTCTGCTTGTTCTGACTCTATGACGTCTGCTTGTTCTGACTATGACGTCTGCTTGTTCTGACTATGACGTCTGCTTGTTCTGACTCTATGACGTCTGCTTGTTCTGACTATGACGTCTGCTTGTTCTGACTCTATGACGTCTGCTTGTTCTGACTCTATGACGTCTGCTTGTTCTGACTCTATGACGTCTGCTTGTTCTGACTCTATGACGTCTGCTTGTTCTGACTCTATGACGTCTGCTTGTTCTGACTCTATGACGTCTGCTTGTTCTGACTCTATGACGTCTGCTTGTTCTGACTCTATGACGTCTGCTTGTTCTGACTCTATGACGTCTGCTTGTTCTGACTCTATGACGTCTGCTTGTTCTGACTGTATGACGTCTGCTTGTTCTGACTCTCTGACGTCTGCTTGTTCTGACTCTGACGTCTGCTTGTTCTGACTATGACGTCTGCTTGTTCTGACTCTATGACGTCTGCTTGTTCTGACTCTATGACGTCTGCTTGTTCTGACTCTATGATGTCTGCTTGTTCTGACTCTATGACGTCTGCTTGTTGTGACTCTATGACGTCTGCTTGTTCTGACTATGACGTCTGCTTGTTCTGACTCTATGATGTCTGCTTGTTCTGACTCTATGACGTCTGCTTGTTGTGACTCTATGACGTCTGCTTGTTCTGACTATGACGTCTGCTTGTTCTGACTCTATGATGTCTGCTTGTTCTGACTCTATGACGTCTGCTTGTTCTGACTATGACGTCTGCTTGTTCTGACTCTATGACGTCTGCTTGTTCTGACTCTATGACGTCTGCTTGTTGTGACTCTATGACGTCTGCTTGTTCTGACTATGACGTCTGCTTGTTCTGACTCTATGATGTCTGCTTGTTCTGACTCTATGACGTCTGCTTGTTCTGACTATGACGTCTGCTTGTTCTGACTCTATGACGTCTGCTTGTTCTGACTCTATGACGTCTGCTTGTTCTGACTCTATGATGTTGTATTTGAATAAAGTGCTAGGAGCTCATTGTTTGTTTGAGCTAAAACTAGAGACATTGATGTTATAAGAAAGTTCTATGTTGTTGCCTGAAAGTTACAAACCCCAGCTTTGAAATCTTGAGATGAATAAAAATGTTTTACACTGTACTATAATTTATAAAACGATTGTACCTGCGGATGACGCCCAGGGATCCCACCAGGGGGCGCAGACATCCCTGTGCGCATAGGTTGGCCAGTGTCTTCAGAGCTGCCTCCCTCACTTCCTGCTCCTCCCTTCCTCCGCAGGCCTCCTCCCCTGTCCCACAGGCCACCTCCCCCCCTCCGCAGGCCTCCTCCCCTGTCCCACAGGCCAGCGCCCCCAGCTGCTCCAGGGCCCCGGAGCGCACCAGCTGCCGCGCACATTCGGCCGTGCAGCTGCGCGTCAGCTCGTGCAGTGCGCGCACCGCCGCCCTGCGCAGCGGCAGCGGGAGGGGCGGGGCCAGGAGCGGGGCGAGCGAACACACAGTGCCGAGGGAGAGGAGAGAGAGGCGGTGTGCGGCCGAGTCACACAGGTACAGCAGCGCACGGCTACACGACTGCGCACACTGCAGACCGGGGGACGAGAGCGCACTGTCAGAGGGAGGAGGCGTGTCCAGGGCGGAGTGGCCAGAGGGGGAGGAGCCAGAAGACGGGGGAGACAAAGCCTGAGAGATGCAGCTGAGCAGCAAAGGAACAGCTCCTGAAACAATAACAGTCAGAACTCTCCCTTCATGATTTACACACAGGCAGAGAAAGAAATATGTCCTATCTAACCAGCTAGCTCCATGAACCTGATATGGAAAACTTCACCATTTTGGGCTTAAATCTGTGGTTTCCCTGTGCCTCTCTCTGCCTCTCTCTGCCTCTCTCTGCTCTCACCTGCCGTATGGATAAGGTCAGAGTTTTGTGGGTCCATGGCCAGGTTTCCCAGAGCTCGAGCTGCTCTGTTCTGCACCGACAGCAGCGTCCCCTGTCTTCTCAGGATGTCCACTGCAACAACACACACAACTGTGGCATAGACACATACAATGTGGCATAGACACACACAATGTAGCATAGACACACAACTGTGAGACAGGCACACAAATGTGGAACAGAGACACAACTGTGAGACAGACACAGAACTGCAGCACAGAGACACACAACTGTGGCACTCAGCAATACAACTGTAACAACACACAACAGCAGCTCACCAATGATTCTGATGCCGTCCAGCTTACGAACCTGCAGCAGAGACACATGTTTAAGACCCAGAACCAGACCCAGACCCAGCCCCTGACCAGACCCAGACCCCGCCTCACCTGGACGCAGGACTCTCTCTCCGTGCAGCAGTTGGCCAGGATGCTCAGTCCCAGGTCCAGAGTCTTGGAACTGCAGTCCGACTGTTTGAGCAGCAGCAGCAACGAAGACAGACCACCCTCCATCCGGAACCGGGAGAGAGACCCCCTGAGGAGAGAAAGAGACCCATGAGGAGAGAGAGACCAGAAAGAGAGAGAGAGATTCCTGAGGAGAGAGAGAGATTCCTGAGGAGAGAGAGGGAGACCCCTGAGGAGAGAGAGGGATTCCTGAGGAGAGAGAGGGACCCCTGAGGAGAGAGAGACCCCTGAGGAGAGAGAGACCCCTGAGGAGAGAGAGACCCCTGAGGAGAGAGAGACCCCTGAGGAGAGAGAGACCCCTGAGGAGAGAGAGACCCCTGAGGAGAGAGAGACCCCTGAGGAGAGAGAGGCCCCTGAGGAGAGAAAGGCCCCTGAGGAGAAAGAGACCTCTGAGGAGAGAGAGACCTGAACAGTAGTATTTCTCTTTCCTGAATGCTAACCCTGACCTGTGTCCTTTGATGTGCTGTGTGCGGATGGCCACTAGGGCACGCCACTGCGCCTGCCGCGCCCGCCGCTCCAGCTCCTTCTGCGGCTTTCTCTGCAGTTTTGAGATACACCAGGACAGAGACAGCTCCGGCTCTTTGGACGGAGCGCGTTTACGATCGCCTCCCGACACAGACGCCATCTCCACGGCTTCTTCTTAACGCCAGACGAGCTCAAACTAAAGCTGAGGACAGAGTTTACTTTAGAGTTTAGACTTCGCCTTGTACACGTTTCAAAGTCTAAACCAGAGAGGTTTCAAAGTCATATATATATATATATATATATATATATATATATATATATAACATTATATTGTAAAAAAATAATCATCTAATCATTAATGTTAGAAAAATTGATATTCGGCTTAGATTACCCATTATTAGATTATTTTGATCCTGTTTGGATCAGATTCTTGTGAATGTGAGATATTTACACGAAAACAAAGAAAACATCGTCTTATAACAAAACATATACATTTTCAAGTCCAAGTCCCAGACCAGAAACAGTTCAGGACTAACTGTGTGTTGTTCCAAAACGTTTAATCGACCATTATGATCAGTTGACAACCATTTCAAATACGATTCATCAATGAACTTGTTAAGAGTCGATACTCAATAAACTAAATATTAATTAAATTAATAATAACAACACAGCAGTACCGATAAGGAGCCCTCACTACATACATAACTAATATTAAGATTGTATTTTAGTCAAACTACACACACGCACCAGCAGCTGACGCCGCGGTGGCTCTTGGGAAATGGAGTCCTCTGAGCTCCCGTCCGCTCGGGCTCCGGGCCTACATCCTGAACTCCCAGTTCTCCGGTTCTAACGGGTACCCGCACGTATAAACTGTGAGTGACTTGTGTCTGCTTCTACAGGTGGAGATGGGCACGTGCTTTGTCAGTCTGATGAAAGAACACCGCGCAGTCCTGGCTCAAACAAACACAAATCGCGGAAGCTAGCAGCGGCGCCATCTTTAGCCCACGGCATACGGGGGCGACCAGGGACAGGAGCAGGGGCTGCACAAGGCAAGTGGCGTTTGGGACTTGTAGTCCGACCGCTTGCAAGCGTAATGTAAAAAAAGCGTTAAAGAACTACAAACTATGGGGACGTGGGCGTTTGGGCAGCGTCCGAATCCAGACAGTCCCTCATCCTAATCCTTCTTTTCTAATCGAGGCAGTTCCAGGTTTTGTCGAGTGGAATATGAAACATTTGAGGTGGGCGGGTCTCAGTGGTTCACGTGACCAGTTTACGCTCACGTGACTTGGACTTTAAATTGCAACAAGATGCGTCTGAGCATCATGTCTGGTGAAGGGACTCAGCCCGAAACGTTACTATCGTGGTCTGTGAATAAAAGATGGGAGCAACATAGCTGTGCAGATTTTTCTTGCACCTTTTCGAATCCAGCAGCTAGTTTAGGCTACTGGGGTGTGCAACCTTATTTGAAACCTTTGTGAACTAACATTCAAAGTAGCAATAAGTAAGATTTTCATGTAAATGTATCATTAAATGGCCCTGACGTGTCAAAAGGCATAAATAAACCATTTTATTTTCCAAAACTTCAACTGATTATACAGCGCCTAAAATGAGTTTTCATTTCGATGTCCCGCCCTCCACGGTTTTACCAATCCATGATCCGGGTTGCCAGAACTCACCGCGTCGAGCTAATAGTAACATGTAGCTGCAGTACTAAATAAGGTCTGGTTATGATTCTCAAATCATTAATGACAAAACAATTAAAAAAACGAGGATTTCTATCTCTGTGAAAAAGGTATTGGTAATACATTTGTTGTTGCCAAAACTCGGATGTTATGTCCCAGCTGAATTTGTCTGCTTATCTGGCAACCTAAGTCAGGGATATTAGGAGAGGTTGCAGTACCATCTCTGGCCAGAATACATTTACGTTTACATACTGCTCCTTTAAATATCTGTCACTGTTTTCAAAGGTTTGAAATAAATATTTTCAAAACTCCACAAACTGAAGCGTTTTTCACACTTGGATTTAAAACTGACTTTTATAGAAGAGAACAAAGTGGAGGAATGAAAGTTAACTGAAGAAAAGTAGATCTGAGTGTGTACATGTATCACACTGTATACAGATGGACAATGCTAACCCGTAAACTCCTGTACCTCAGTAACCGTTGGTGTCTCTTCTGGTCTTACTCTCACTGGTGTCTCTCAGTGTGAAGTAACCAGACCACAGCAGGTTAAAAACAACTCACTTTAATGTTAAATCCGTAACTTCCATCCAAGACTTTCCACAAGACGTTTGCAAACATTGACCTCAAAGTCCCAGAACATTACAAACAATATAATAATAGAACGACGAGCCAGTGTTCTCTTCGTTGTCACTTTGAGGTCAGACGCAGAGCAAAAGGAAACGCTGCAGATCCAACTTCATCTCAGTCATTATTTTGGCATTTCATAATTCTTTAAGTGAACTGTTTATGGAAAACCAGGATTTTTAGATTTGTCTGAACAAACATCAGGAACTGCTGGATAAACCTGTCCCCCGCCCCTTCTGTCTGAAGCAGGGGTTGCCAAACCTCTTCACGAATAAAGACAATATATGGATCGATCTCTCTCGATCTCTCGATCTCTCTCGATCTCTCTCTCGATCTCTCTCTCTCTAGGTGCACTGCGCTGTGAATGTTTGTTGTGACCAGTTCCTTCCATAACAACGTAAAGTCAACACGCCAAACTTTCCCATTGTTTGGTCCTGGTATTAAATTAGTTATAAATTGTGTTTCTCTCCAATCAAATCCCGTTCTTTTCTTTCGTTCTGCTAACACATGCATGCCAGAGCAGTTTCCCACTTCCACCACCAGATGGAGGCGTCTCACTACTTTAGATCCTTCCACATCTTTATACACATATTTTCAAAATGAAGCCATGAAAAACCAAATAACGTTTAAAGTGTGGAGCCAAACACTCCACAACTACACTTTTGTTTCAGAAACGACTTCTAAAAGATAAAAAAGTTTGTTCTGCAGAGAAACACTGACATTACATTCATATATATTCATTAACAGACCAGAGAGAGAGAGTGGAAACAGGGCTAAAGATCTTTGCAGAAAAGAAGAATTTTATATTATTTTAATATTAATTGAATAATAACAAAACCAGAGATAGTTTTGTCTTGGATTCTTTGCTTGAAAACGTAGTAAAAAAACATTTTAAAATAAAGTTTAAAAACACGGTACGTCTGCTTTGTTCACAATGTTACTTCCTCCACCAACTCCACAAACTTCTAATAGTGACTCACAGGGCTCGAACAAGTTTAAATGTTTCCTAATGAGATGAAGACAGCATGTGAATAAAAGCGAAATGTAGCGAACTGTAAGAGTCATGATCAAAGGTTACCTAGCTTTTAACTGTAGCAGCTGTTTTAGGATCACTTTAACCAGGTTTGTAAATGTTTGTCAGAAGAAAATGTTTGAGTTCCTCCCAAACAGTGTGTCCTTATTTCAGACAAATGGGATGAGTCTGAGTCCGGATCTGGGTCTGGGTTCACTGCAGCCTGCTCCTAGAGTCTTGGGGGCTTCGTGATGCAGGGATCTGGGACATTTGGGAAGTAGTCTGGGGCTAGGTCAGAGTCCTGGTCCGGGTCATGGTCTGGGTCTGGTCTGGATCCTGGTTTGAGTCCTAGTTCACTGCACAGTCTGCTTGTTTGCGGTGCTGCCATAGTCTTAGGGCTTCATGACGATGTGCAGATATATGGGATGTGGCCTGGGTCCTGGTCTGGGTCCTGGGCTAGGTCCTGGTCTAAGTCCTGGTCTAGGTCCTGGTCTGGGTCCTGGTTCACTGCACGGCCTGCTCGTTGGTGTTGCTCCCGGAGTCCTGAGGCTTCATGACGTCAGGCAGCTCTGGCGGAGTGGAGAATGACTCGATTCTGAGCGGCTCAAAAGAATCTTCTGGAAACAAACAAAGATTAAAGAGACAGAATTTGGAAACGTCTGTGTGTTGTCTGGACCTGTGTCGGCTTTGCACCCACACTTCTAAAGTCACAGCAGTGCACCCAAGATAAGAGAGAGAGACCAGAGAGAAACTACACAGACCTAATGGGGCGTTCAGACCGGATCATGCTGCGGTGACTTTCAATGCAAAGTCAATGGTGCCGTGCGTTTGAGCGTGGAGCTGCATGTGCGTCTCGGGACGCACTCACGGACCGTGCGGCAGAGGCGCGGCGGCGGAAAATTGACAAACGCAGGAGATAAAGATTGCTTAACTTTTTCCTTGGGACGCTCGTGCAGCGACCAATCAGAGAGCCGCAAAGTGGTCATGGGGACATTAGTGGTCCGAGCGAACAGACTGAACATACTCGTACAGCCAAAACAGGAGCTACACCAGGACTAACCCAGGACTAAACCAGGACTAAATCAGGATTGACAATGGGGGACACAGTGCTTGTGAAGTGAACATATGCCTCCAGGTCGAGTTCTCATTCTCCAGTGACTGTAAACTAGTGCAGCTAGCGTGTTCGTCGATGCGGAAGTACCGTTTAATAATAAAATAAACATATGGCGCACCTGCGTGAACACATACTGCTGTTATAGTCAAGAGAGTAGAAGACAAACTATCTCTAGAAGTGCCAGATACTACTTGTGGCACTTCCGGCGGGCGCCACCGCAGGCCAGGACTTCTGGTCTGAACACCCCTAGCGTCTGAAATAGGGTCAGGGTTGAGGCAGACCAGAAAGAGACCAGAGAGAGAGCAGAGAGAGCAGAAAGTGAGACGAAAGCCGGTTCAAAAACAGTTCTGTTTTTCTGTGAAGGATTTGGTCTTAAGTGTTTTTAATGCACTGTGGTTTTTTATGATTTGCATGATTTTGTCTTTTAAGTTTGTTTTTATTGACTGGACCAGACTGGACCAGACTCACCTCCGCTCCTGAAGGCCAGTCCCACTGTGGCCGGAGCCTGCGGTCGAGCTGTTTGGTTTGTGAAGCCGCAGTTTCCCAACGTCTGAGAGTCATTCAGCAAAACATCGTCCTGCAACAGACAGAGTTAAACCTGGCTCTCCTGGTCTCTCACTCTCCTGGTCTCTCGCTCTCCTGGTCTATCTCTGGTACCTTGTAGAGCCTCTGGTCCTCTGGCGCCCTCTTCAGGATGCCCTCCACGATGCGCTTTAGCTCGTACACTGTGGTCGACTCTTTGGCGTCGGTGAAGATGGTGGACTTATGACGTCGGATCATTAGAAACACATCCTGAAGGAACCAACAGAGGGCGCTGTGTTAGAGACCTCAGACAATCACTCAGTCCCGGGTCTACGGCCTCAGTCCCGGGTCTACGGCCTCAGTCCCGGGTCTACGGCCTCAGTCCCGGGTCTACGGCCTCAGTCCCGGGTCTACGGCCTCAGTCCCGGGTCTACGGCCTCAGTCCCGGGTCTACGGCCTCAGTCCCGGGTCTACGGCCTCAGTCCCGGGTCTACGGCCTCAGTCCCGGGTCTACGGCCTCAGTCCCGGGTCTACGGCCTCAGTCCCGGGTCTACGGCCTCAGTCCCGGGTCTACGGCCTCAGTCCCGGGTCTACGGCCTCAGTCCCGGGTCTACGGCCTCAGTCCCGGGTCTACGGCCTCAGTCCCGGGTCTACGGCCTCAGTCCCGGGTCTACGGCCTCAGTCCCGGGTTTACGGCCTCAGTCCCGGGTCTACGGCCTCAGTCCCGGGTCTACGGCCTCAGTCCCGGGTCTACGGCCTAAGTCCTAAGTCTACAGCCTCAGTCCTGGGTCTTCAAGTTTTATTTAATCTTGTATTGAAAAATATTAGATTTGTTTTGATCAATCGTCTGTAAGTTCACATGCTGTACTATTTGAGATAGTTTAGACCTAAAGACGGCATAATTTAAATAATTCTAACAAACGTAACAGTGACAGATTTAAAGTTTAAGGCTAAATGTAAGTAAGTTATATTCATTTATAAATCAAGCCTTTTTTACAGACCAAGGTCCCCCAAAGCTCTTTACAATGTTCAGAGTTTAGATATGCTCCATTCTCTCCACACGGTGAAGACAGAAGCGAGACGGCGAACACACTGGTCCATCAAAGCCTCCGACCAAACACCATCCATTCACTCACTCATTACATTCAGACCTACTGTGCATGTTTTTTGTGGTAGGGGAAACCGGAGCACAAGGAGGACAACTACGGAGACACGGGGAGAACATGCAAACTCCACACAGAAAATGTAAAACCTGATAAATACGTTGGGGCTCAATTTTTGAACTGGATCTTTACGAGGAGGGTTTAAAGCCTTGATCTCCTGAATGTTCCGCAGAGTTAGTCAGTTTTATTTACGTGAATATTCCCAATGTTATACCACAAGCTTTAAACAATTTCTTTGTACTATCTTCAGATGACCATTTCCACCAAGCACATCTTCCCTTTTGTACATCCATCCATCCATCCATTTTCTTCCGCTTTATCCGTTGCCGGGTCGCGGGGGCAGCAGTCTAAGCAGAGACGCCCAGACTTCCCTATCCACACACACTTCCTCCAGCTCGTCCGGGGGGACCCCAAGGCGTTCCCAGGCCAGCTGAGAGACATAGTCCCTCCAGCGTGTCCTAGGTCTTCCGCGGGGCCTCCTCCCGGTGGGACGTGCCCGGAACACCTCCCCAGGGAGGCGTCCAGGAGGCATCCGGAACAGATGCCAGAGCCACCTCAACTGGTTCCTCTCGACGTGGAGAAGCAGCGGCTCTACTCCGAGCTCCTCCCGTGTGACTGAGCTCCTCACCCTATCTCTAAGGGAGCGCCCAGCCACTCTGCGGAGGAAGCTCATTTCGACCGCTTGTATCCGCGATCTCGTTCTTTCGGTCATTACCCAAAGCTCATGACCATAGGTGAGGGAGGGAACGAAGATTGACCGGTAAATCGAGAGCTTTGCCTTTCAGCTCAGCTCCCTCTTTACCACAACGGTCCGATACAGCGACCGCATCACTGCGCACGCTGCACCGATCCGCCTGTCAATCTCACGCTCCATTCTTCCCTCACTCGTGAACAAGACCCCGAGATACTTGAACTCCTCCACTTGAGGAAGGACCTCTCCACCCACCTGAAGAGGGCAGGGCACCTTTTTCCGGTCGAGCACCATGGCCTCGGATTTGGAGGTGCTGATTCTCATCCCAGCCGCTTCACACTCGGCTGCAAACCGTCCCAGTGAATGCTGCAGGTCCTGGTTCGTTGGAGCCAACAGGACAACATCGTCCGCAAACAGCAGAGATGAAATTCTGTGGTCCCCGAACCGGACCCCCTCCGACTCCTGGCTGCGCCTAGATATTCTGTCCATAAATACAGTGAACAGAACCGGTGACAAAGGGCAGCCCTGTCGGAGGCCAACATTCACCGGGAACAGGTCTGACTTACTGCCGGCAATGCGAACACAGCTCTGGCTCCGGTCATACAGGGACCGGATGGCCCTCAGCAGAGGACCCCCGACCCCGTACTCCCGGAGAACCCCCCAAAGGGCACCCCGGGGAACACAGTCGAACGCCTTCTCCAAATCCACAAAGCACATGTGGACAGGTTGGGCGAACTCCCATGAACCCTCGAGTATCCGATGGAGAGTATAGAGCTGGTCCAGTGTTCCGCGACCGGGACGAAAACCACACTGCTCCTCCTGGATCCAAGATTCGACCATCGGCCGTAGCCTCCTCTCCAGTACCTTGGAGTAGACCTTACCGGGGAGGCTGAGGAGTGTGATCCCACGATAATTGGAACACACCCTCCGGTCCCCCTTCTTATAGAGAGGGACCACCACCCCGGTCTGCCACTCCATTGGCACCGCCCCCGATCGCCACGCGATGTTGCAGAGACGTGTCAGCCAATACAGTCCTACAACATCCAGAGACTTTAGATAATCAGGGCGGATCTCATCCACACCCGGAGCCTTGCCACCATGGAGGCAACCAACCACCTTGGTGACCTCAGCCAGGGAGATGGATGTCTCCGCCCCAGCATCCTCAGCCTCTGCCTCTGAGACAGAGGACGTGACGGGGGGATTGAGGAGAACCTCAAAGTATTCCTTCCACCGCCCGACAATATCCCCCGTCGAGGTCAGCAGCTCTCCACCCGCACCGTACATGGTGTTGGCAAAGAACTGCTTCCCCCTCCTGAGGCGCCGGACGGTTTGCCAGAATTTCTTTGAGGCCGACCGATAGTCATGCTCCATGGACTCTCCGAACTCCTCCCAGTCCCGGGTTTTTGCCTCTGCAACAGCCCGGGCCGCGGCACGCTTGGCCTGCCGGTACTGGACAGCTGCCTCAGGAGTCCCCCGAACCATCATGGCTCGATAGGACTCCTTCTTCAGCCTGACAGCTTCCCTTACTGCCGGTGTCCACCACCGGGTTCGGGGGTTGCCGCCGGGACCAGCACCAGAGACCTTGCGACCACAGCTACGGGCCGCCGCATCGGCGATTGAGGCAGAGAACATGGTCCACTCGGACTCCATGTCCCCCTCCTCCACCGGGACCTGGGAGAAACTCTCCCGGAGGTGTGAGTTGAAAGTCCGTCTGACAGGGGGCTCAGCGAGACGTTCCCAGCAGACCCTCACTATACGCTTGGGTCTGCCAGGTCTGACCGGCTTCTTCCCCTGCCAGCGGATCCAACTCACGACCAGGTGATGATCGGTTGACAGCTCCGCCCCTCTCTTTACCCGAGTGTCCGAGACACGCGGTCGAAGGTCAGATGATACGACAACAAAGTCGATCATCGACCTCCGGCCTAGGGTGTCCTGGTGCCACGTGCACTGGTGGACACCCTTGTGCTCGAACATGGTGTTCGTGATGGACAAACTGTGACTGGCACAGAAGTCCAACAACTGAACACCGCTTGGGTTCAGATCAGGGGGGCCGCTCTTCCCGATCACCCCTCTCCAAGTGTCACTGGCGTTTCCCACATGGGCGTTGAAGTCCCCCAGGAGAATAACGGAGTCCCCGGGCGGTGCACCGTCCAGTACCCCTCCCAAGGACTCCAAGAAGGCCGGGTACTCTGCACTGCTGTTAGGCCCGTAGGCCGTCACAACAGTGAGAGACTTGTCCCCCACCCGGAGGCGGAGGGACGCGACCCTCTCATTCACCGGGGAGAACTCCAACACGTGGCGGCTGAGATGGGGGGCAATGAGAATGGCCACCCCAGCTCGCCGCCTCTCCCTGCGGGAAACACCAGAAAAGTGGAGCGTCCAACCCCTCTCAAGGAGTTGGGTTCCAGAGCCCAAGCTGTGTGTGGAGGTGAGGCCGACTATCTCTAGTCGGTATCGCTCAACCTCCCCCACAAGCTCAGGCTCCTTCCCTCCCAGTGAGGTGACGTTCCACGTCCCGAGAGCCAGCTGTTGTGTGTGCGGACTGGGTCGTCGAGGTCTCCGCCTTCGACTGCTGCCCAGTCCTCTCTGCACCATGCCACCACGGACCCCTCTGCAGGTGGTGGGCCCACAGGAGGGACTGCCCACGTCGTCCATTCGGGCTGAGCCCGGCCGGGCCCCGTGGGCTAAGCCCCGGCCACCAGGCGCTCGCTACGAGCCCCGACCCCAGGCCTGGCTCCAGGGTGGGGCCCCGGCTGCGCCATGCCGGGCGACGTCACTGGTTTCGTATGAGTGCTGTCCATGGTGTCTTCTGGACTGCTCTTTGTCTGACTCGTCACCCGAGACCTGTCTGCCATGGGAGGCCCTACCAGGGGCATGAAGCCCCAGACAGCATAGCTCCCAGGATCATCCGAGTACTCAAACTCCCCCACCACGTTAAGGTGGCAGTCCAGGGGGGAATTTTGTACAACTACGGCCAATTAGATAATCACTTAAACATAGAGGTCCTTCACTCTAGAACCATTTAGCTTCTGCTCTAAAGACTATGTTCAAAATGTACTGTTTTAATTCATCCCACAGTGGGGAAATGTCAATGTTGCAGCACACAGACAGTACAGTAGTAAGAGCACACAAAAATATACATATTAAGTAGTATCTATGTTTCTTAACTAGCTGTAAATGCTGTCTTTCAAAAAAAATATATATATACGTAGTTCGGAGTTATATATTATAGATCCATGGTTATATACTGTACATATAGGGCGGGATAATAAGTAGATAAAGTAAAGTGACATTGTTCAGTGGACATTTCTGAAGTTGCAGTATTGCACATGATTTTAGTATTTACTTATTTACAGATGAATGACATGATCAACAAAAACTAGGTTAATATCCAAAACCATTTAAATCCATACAGAAATATTGTATCGGTAATTGGTGTCTTGCCTGTTTATGCCTTTGCCTGTTTTTGGTGATGTTGGGAGAGGACCACTTTGTCTTCTCACTCTCTCCTGCACAGTTCTTTTTTTTAAATGCACACTTTTCATATCAATTCATCGAAATGCAAATAGATACAGAAAATCAGATCAGATTAAAGCAAGTGGAGGACTTGGGCTCTATCTGACGTCTTGTTTTCCTCTGTCCGTGTTTGCTGCAGGGGGCTTTAAACATATTGCGACAGCTGCAGTGGTGCCACTTACACAACTTTCAACTGATTTCATTCATAAAACACAACATTTACACTGGACACACACAGCAGCAGCAGGAGCCTGTGGTAAACCCTCTGAGACACAAGCTTCGTGTCAGTCACAGCCTTTGAACGAAGCTAACGACATGAGCCGAAGCTACAAAACAACGTTAGCATAACTTGTTAGCTCGGCACACGAACTTAATGTATATAAAGAATTTACAAAGTGATTTTTCCCTTAAGTGAATCATTCCAACTGCCCACGAGTCCGCCTGTGTATCTCCACTGTTGTTTTTATATTTGGAGCCTGGTTTTAAGAGTTTAGTCACAATAACCGCGGTTAGCTTCACATGCTAGCCCATTAGCCAGCGTTAGCCACACAAAGACCCGGTTCCTGACTGGTATTTTGGGGTACACTGTGTGGTCTTCGGGCAGGGGTGCGTGGGGATATGTCTGTCTGTCTGCTGCGGGGTTGGAAAAGCCCGGGTGTCAGTTAAAGTGGTGGAAATGTTGTGTTTTTCGGGCCGTACTCACCATGATGTTGGGTTTGTGTTTGGAGCTGAAGTTGCACAGACTGAGCAGAGGGGGCGCTGTCCTCAAGGGGAAGAGGCGCTCTGCTGCAGAAGTATTCATACGCCGTGGAATTTGACCAATTTTGTCTCGTTGCGACCACAAACACACATTTTATTGGACTTATATGTGAAAAACACTTTACTTTATTTAAAGTGGACAAAATATTGAAGATTTAAAAGCGATTTATGTGCATGTATAATTATAGTTATATCATTATGTTACACAGCACCTTGTGGTTATAATGATACTGTTACATTAAGATAACATAACAACTTTAAACAGTTGGGACGCGCACAAAAAAATATCCCAATCTATCCATTCAACGTTCTCAAATCAAATATACAGTTTTGTTGCCATCAAGAGCTGTTTAATAAACATGAAAGCATATAGTACCAAATTTTTACATTTTATTTGAATATTATTGGAGATGAGAATCTGTTCAAGATAACCACAACACATCTGTACATCCCCCATGATATAAGTTATCTTTATATATATAGCACATCTCAAGACTAATGTCACAGCACTTGATTCCCTTTCACTGCTGACAAACAGCGACGACAGAAGCAGGACGCAAAACTCACTGGTGCATCGAATCCTCCGACCATCACCACCCATTCACTCTCTCATTACATTCAGTCTCTCTCTGGCCTCTCTCTGGCCTCTCTCTGGCCTCTCTCTGGCCTCTCTCTGGCCTCTCTCTGGCCTCTCTCTGGCCTCTCTCTGGCCTCTCTCTGGCCTCTCTCTGGCCTCTCTCTGGCCTCTCTCTGGCCTCTCTGGTCTCTCTCCAGTCTCTCTCTGGCCTCTCTCTGGTCTCTCTCCGGCCTCTCTCCGGCCTCTCTCTGGTCTCTCTCTGGTCTCTCTCTTTCTCTGGATGAGGGTGTGGAGTGAGGGTGGAGGGGTGAGGAGCAGTTGTTCCTCACCCTTCGGGCCCCTGTCGCGGTGGGGCCCTTGAGAGTTTGAACATACTTCACATAAGGAGCACACGCCACAAAATAACAACTTCAAAAACAGACGCAGCACTTATCACCTATCGGGAACACGGCAAGACCAGAGACCAGCAAGACCCAGACCTCCTAGACCCAGACCAGCAAGACCCAGACCTCCTAGACCCAGACCAGCAAGACTCTGACCAGCGAGACCCAGACCAGCAAGACCCAGACCTCCAAGACCTAGACCAGCAAGACGCAGACCTCCTAGACCCAGGCCAGCAAGACTCTGACCAGCGAGACCCAGACCAGCAAGACCCAGACCTCCAAGACCTAGACCAGCAAGACGCAGACCTCCTAGACCCAGGCCAGCAAGACTCTGACCAGCGAGACCCAGACCAGCAAGACCCAGACCAACAAGACCAAGAACAGCAAGACCCAGACCAGCCAGACCCAGACCACGTAGACCCAGACCAGCTAGACCAAGACCAGCAAGATCCACGGCTCCTAGACCCAGACCAGCAAGACTCTGACCGGCGAGACCCAGACCTCCTAGACCCAGGCCAGCAAGACTCTGACCAGCGAGACCCAGACTGGCAAGACCCAGACCAACAAGACCAAGAACAGCAAGACCCAGACCACGTAGACCCAGCGAGACCCAGACCAGCAAGACTTTGACCAGCGAGACCCAGACTGACAAGACCCAGACCAGCAAGACCCAGACCAACAAGACCAAGTAAGTAAGTAAGTAAGTAAGTAAGTAAGTAAGTAAGTAAGTAAGTAAGTAAGTAAGACCAGGGCCTTTCTGAGTGGAGTTTGCATGTTCTCCCCGTGTCTGCGTAGGTTTCCTCCGGGTACTCCGGTTTCCCCTACCACTAAAAATATGTCCAATAGTTCTAGCATGCGCCTCCTGTACTGGCCCCGCTCCCATCTCTGTGTGGAGTGAGAGACAAATGCCCAAAATTAACAATTGTAAACCGCTTTGAGACTCAGATCTGCAGTGAAAAGGCGGTATATAAATAAATACTTACTTACTTACTTACTTACCAAGAACAGCAAGACCCAGACCAGCCAGACCCAGACCAGCAAGACCCAGACCACCTAAACCCATGCCAGCAAGACTGACCAGCGAGGAGACCCATACCACCTAGACCCAGACCAGCGAAACGCAGACTACCTAGACCCAGACCAGAACCTGAGGAAGCTGGGGCTGTGACTTTAAAGCTGGGGTACATCTTTCAAACCACAACAACAGGACTCTGGCCTCAGCGTTGCCTCTGACACCATGACGAATGAGTCCAGAGGGTCATCATGGTCATACTACACCCTGATTATGGGACCAGCAGGACCCACTCTCTCCTCTCTGCGGTCTCTCTGCGGTCTCTCTCTGGTATCTCTCTGATCTTTCTCTCTGGTATTTCTGATCTCTCTCCGTTCTCTCTCTGGTCTCTCTCTGATTTGTCTCTGATCTCTAACTGATCTCTCTCCCTCTGGTCTTTTTCTGGTCCTAAAATACATAGAGCCAGAACAAGTGACATGGATTTTATTACATAACTTCAGTGTTGTGTTTTTGAAAGTTATGTACCCATGCTTTAAGGGACCCCTCTCCTCCTCCCACCCCCCTCTGCCTCACCCTGGAGGTAATAAAAGCAGCTCCTCTCTCTTCACCACAGACTCTCCAGGTCCCAGAGAACAGCAGAGGAACCACAAAGGAACCACAGAGGAACCAGGATCATGCCTGCTCCCAGAAAAGCCGGTACCAACCTCTCCCTTATCTAACTGCTTTGATTTCACACAAAGATAACAGACATACACCTGAACCAGAGAGAGACCAGAGAGAGACCAGAGAGAGACCAGAAACACCAGAGAGTGACCAGATAGAGCAGAGAGAGAGAGAGAGACTAGAATAGAGAACAACCAGAGGGACCGGGGAGAGACCAGACGGACCAGAGAGAGACCAGAGAGACACCAGAGATACGAGGGGGGGACCAGAGAGAGAATTGGAAAGAGCTTGAATGTGTTATAAAGATTTTTAAGTGAAGAAAACTCTGAGGTGATGTCACACTCAGAGGACAGAGTGTGACATCACCTGTGCTCTAGGCAGAAGAGGCCGATTTGAACATGGTCCTTGGAAACCCCTTTCCCCTCTCACTCTCCCCCGTCTCCCCCTCTCTCCCTCTGGTCATGTCTTGTCGTCAGTGTTGTAATCCCTCTCTCCTGAGGCATCTCTGATCACTTTGACCTGGACCCTGATGAGAGAACATTTATACACACATGCACACACACACACACACATACAGACACACACGCGCGCATCAACGCTCGTGCACACACACACACACACTCTGGTCTTTCTCTCCTTGGTCTTTAGTCTCTCTTTGGTCTCTCTCCCTCTCCCTCTCTGTATTTTCTCTGGTCTCCCTCTGGGGTCTCTCTGGTCTACCTCTGGTCCTTTTATGGTCTCTCCTTGGTCTCCCTCTGGTCTCTCTCTGGTCTCTCTCTGGTCTCTCTCTGGTCTCTCTCTGGTCTCTCCCTGGTCTCTCTCTGGTCTCTCTCTGGTCTCTCTCTGGTCTCTCTCTGGTCTCTCTCTGGTCTCTCTCTGGTCTCTCTCTGGTCTCTCTCTGGTCTCTCTCTGGTCTCTCTCTGGTCTCTCCCTGGTCTCTCCCTGGTCTCTCCCTGGTCTCTCCCTGGTCTTACCCTGGTCTCTCTCTGGTCTGGCTCTGGTCTGGCTCTGGTCTGGCTCTGGTCTGTCTCCGGTCTGTCTCCGGTCTGTCTCCGGTCTGTCTCCGGTCTGTCTCCGGTCTGTCTCCGGTCTGTCTCCGGTCTGTCTCTGGTCTGTCTCTGGTTTGTCTCTGGTTTGTCTCTGGTCTGTCTCCGGTCTGTCTCTGGTCTGTCTCTGGTCTCTCTTTGGTCTCTCTTTGGTCTCTCTCTGGTCTCTGATAATAAAAGAGACACTTGTTTATTTCTTTTCTGATTCAAGAATGTGTCAAAGTTGATCTTGGTCTCAATCATACGAAACATGATCCTCACATTAACACCGTCCATCACAGAGTAACCTCACCCCTTCTCTCTCCTCCCACTCTCCCCTAAGAGGGAGACCAGAGAGAGACCAGAGAGAGACCAGAGATGAGAGATAGATCAAAGAGAGACCTGAGAGAGACCAGAGTAAGACCAGAGAGAGATCAGAGAGAGACCATAGACCATTGACCAGAGGGAGACCAGAGACAGAAACCATAGACCAGAGAGAGATCAGAGAGAGTCGAGACCAGAGAAAGACCAGAGAGAGACCATAAAGAAAGATCAAAGAGAGATCAGAGGAGCATTAGTCCCTCCAACTTGTGCAGAGTGTTATTTTGAACCATTAGCGCTGCAGTGATTAGCCTCGACGTTAGCTTTAGCATTAGCGCCGTGGTCTTTACAAATGTTTAATATGAAGAGTCGGATCTGGTTTCAGTGTGGGGTAGATTTAGGCCAGAGCTGAGTCCCTCATCAATCACCCTCACCCCCCTCTCCCTCCCTCCTACACCCAGGGCCCCAAACCTGGACTGGTCCGAGACATCTGCCCTCCCTCTCTCCCTGACTTCTACTCTCCCTCTCCATTTTTCTCCTTCTCTCTCCTGTTCTCCCTCCTCTCTCCCTCTCTGTCTTTCACACTGTTCCCCCACAGACCTGCAGATGTGTTTAGTTCCATCCATACTGATATCTGTTTCAAACCTGTGACACTGACATCAGGAGTGTGGTTCCATTCAGACTGTGTGGAGTTTGCATGTTCTCCCTGTGTCTGTGGGGAGCAGAATGAGAGGACAGAGATCACAGAGAGACCAGAGCTCATATGCTTTCAACCTCCCAACAACAAACCAGTATCTGGAGAAATTCCTAGGTAACCACGGCTTCCAGCTGCACTCTGGCCAATCACTGAATAAGGACCTGGTACTGGTTACACAGGACCAGTAGAGTAGAGTAGAGTAGAGTAGAGTAGAGTAGAGTAGAGTAGAGTAGAGTAGAGTAGAGTAGAGTAGAGTAGAGTAGAGTAGAGTAGAGTATGTAGAGTAGAGTAGAGTAAACAAGGGAAACGTGCAGCGACAAGGGCTCAATCAAAATGAAATTGTGAAATCAAACAGAAAGCCGCCCCCCCTCCCCACTGTCTTCCCCCTTTCGTTCCCCCTCCCCTTCCTCCCCCTTTCCCTCCCCTTCTCCCAGGCCCTGTCAGCGCCTCTTCAGCTAGTCTTCTTCACCAGATCACTTCTAAGAGTTTAATACTCTGCAGGTCTAAATACAGTCTGTTTCTGTTGCTATAGGGATTGTGGGAGAGAGACCAGAGAGAGAGAGACACCGGAGAGAGACCAGAGAGAGAGACCAGACAGAGCGAGACCTGAGAGAGAGACCAGAGAGAGACCAGAGAGAGACCAGAGAGAGAGACCAGACAGAGCGAGACCTGAGAGACCAGAAAGAGAGACGAGAGAGCGACCCCAGAGAGACCAGAGAGAGACCAGACAGAGCAAGACCTGAGAGAGACCAGAGAGACGGAGACCTGAGAGAGACCAGACATGAAAGAGACTACAGAAAGATTCAGATTCAGATTATTTGCCATTTGCAGTAAAAAAACCACATTGGAATACAGAGAGCCATAGAGAGAGACCAGCTCTTGCCGCTCTTACCATCCCTGTGGTCGACACAGGTCCAAACAACACGCCCCTGTTTATCCTGGTCTCAGTCTGAGAGACTGATAAACTCCTGTTTGTTTTTAGGGAAGAAGAGCTCAGAGCCGGAGTTTCAGCCTCCGCCCTACGACCCCTCCCTCCCTGAGCCTCAGAGCAGAGAGCAGCTCCGAGAACGTGAGACTGAAGCACTTTACACTTTGTCACTTTCTCGGTGCAATAATCAGCAGAACATCAGAATGTGCAATCTCCGCATGTTTCCCTGTCCTCTGTCTGTGTCACGATACTTGCTTCTTTATTATCCTAAAGTTAGAGATTTTATACTTGCTTCTTTATTATCCTAAAGTTAGAGATTTTATACTTGCTTCGTTATTATGCTAAACAGATGTTATTTTATGTTCGTAAAGAGTTATTGCTCCTTTATCTTGTGCTGTGTGCTCCTCATTGTTCCGTACCTGCTGTTGCAACATTGACATTTCACTGTGGGACCATCTTCGGCTTCATGTTAAAGCTGAGGTACTGAACTTCAGGCCACAACAACGGAGCTCGACAGAAGTACAATAGACAAAACAGTGAATATAACACATGTTGAAATCCTGTGTTGCTCCTTGTAAATGGAGGCCTCTGTGAGTTGCGGTGGTGTGTGTCATATAAATGGGTCTGCCTCCTTCAGACTGGTTTCCTCTGAGTCTGGACGACCGCACGGCACAGAAGCTGCTGTGGCTGTCGGAGGGCGGAGCTAAAGTGGCAAGGACCACGGACGCCGTCTGTCCTTATCCAATCAGAGCAGAGCGCTATGACCACTCTCCCCAGGTAAGAGACGAGAAAGACCAGAGAGCAAGACCAGAGACCAGAGAGACCACAGACAGACCAGAGAGAAACCAAAGAAAGAGACCAGAGAAAGACCAGAGAAAGAGAGACCAGATACGGACCAGAGAGAGAGAGACCAGAGAGAGACCAAAGAGACCAGAGAGAGAGACCAGAGAGAGACCACCGAGACAGACCAGAAAGGGACACTAGAGAGAGAAACCAGAGAGAGAGACCAGAGAGAGAGGCCAGAGACCAGAGAGACCAGAGGAACCAGAGACCAAATAGACCAGAGACCAGAGAGACCAGAGAGAGAGACCAGAAAAACCAGAGAGAGACCAGAGATAGTCTCATGTCTTGCTCAGAGGTTCAATCAATCAATCAATCAATCAAATTTTATTTATAAAGCGCTTTTCATACATAAGATGCAACACAAAGTGCTTTACAGATTGGTTAAAAACAATCCCGCCGACCCAAGACCCCTCCCCCAGACCACCCAACAGACCCCCCCCCAAACCACAGACAAACACACACACACGTGCTCATGAACACTCATACACACACACACACACACACACACACACACACACCAGTAAAACAATAAAAACATGATGAGAGACTTGGCAGGGTTCAGATGCAACCAGCTGAAAAAGCGTCATCCAAGGAGCCGTCTGCACCAGGAGCAGAGAGCCGCCCGTAGCCACAGGGGACGACACAGGACCCAGAGGAGACATGAAACCGAGGCCCCAGGCCCCCACCAGGCCCAAGAGTCCGACCCCCGCAGCCACACCGACCACTGCTCCCGGTGCAGAGGGCTCCTCCAGAGGAAACACTGGGTACACTAAAAACAATACAATAAGTAAAACACTAAAATGTGAGACTAAAAGGAACACACAATACATGAATAATAGCAATAGCAATATAATAAATAATAAATAATAAAAGATAAATAGAATGGAATAATAAAAACTAATCAAAAGCTACTCTAAAAAGGTGCGTCTTGAGCCTACTTTTAAAAATATGAACGTTCTCTGCGGCCCTGAGCTCCTCCGGCAGACTGTTCCAGAGACAGGGGCCGTAGTGCTGGAAAGATGCCTCGCCGTGAGTGTGTGTCCTGACTTTGGGGATGGTTAGGAGTCTGCTGCCGGAGGAGCGCAGGGGCCGGGAAGGTTCATAGGATAAAAGCAAATCTGAAAGATAAGAAGGCCCAAGACCATTAAGACATTTAAAAACCATTAAAAGAACCTTAAAATCGATTCTGAAACACACGGGGAGCCAATGCAGCGATTTTAAAACCGGTGTAATGTGGTCCCGCCCCCTGGTCTTAGTCAGGACACGTGCGGCCGAGTTTTGGAGTAATTGAAGACTTGCAATGTTCTTTTTGGGAAGACCAGAGAGCAGGGCATTACAGTAGTCAATGCGACTGGTGATAAAAGCATGCATCAGCGTCTCCGTGTTGCCCCGAGAGAGAATGGGGCGGACTCTGGCGATGTTCTTTAGATGATAAAAACCTATTTTTGTGATACTCTTGATGTGAGAAATAAAAGTCAGCTCAGAGTCAAAGATTACGCCCAGATTTTTCACTTGTGATGATGGATTAAAAGAGTGTGATTGGAGTTTTGATAAAAGTTTCTCTCTCTGGGCCTCAGGACCGATGACTAAAACCTCAGTTTTGTCCTGGTTAAGCTGGAGAAAGTTTTCTGCCATCCAGGATTTCAGGTCTAAAATGCAGTTAAAAAGAGCATCCATTGGCCTGGTGTCATCAGGAGACATGGAGATGTACAGCTGTGTATCATCTGCATAACTGTGGAAGTTAATTCCATGTCTCCTGACGACACCGCCAAGAGGGAGCATGTACAGGTTAAAAAGGACTGGACCTAAAATGGAACCCTGGGGCACACCACATGTGATTTTATGGACCTGAGAGGAGCAGGTATCCAAACTTACCATGAAGGATCTGTCTGTTAAATAAGAAGTGAACCATTTGTGGACAGCACCAGAGAGGCCGAGGTGTTGTAGGCGTGATAAAAGAATTGTGTGGTCTACTGTATCAAAGGCAGCGCTAAGATCCAGTAAACCAACACAGTCACCTTTTTGAAATCATAACTTAGTCTAAGATCGTTTAAAATCTTTAAAAGAGCAGTCTCTGTGCTGTGGTTCACCCTAAAACCTGATTGAAATTTCTCTAAAATTTGCTGCTGATCTAAAAAGGCATTGAGCTGGGTAAAAACAAGTTTTTCTAAAATTTTGCTTAAAAATGGTAAGTTGGATACCGGTCTGTAGTTGTTAAAATCATTAAAATCTAAATTGCTCTTCTTCAGAAGGGGTCTCACCACAGCCGCTTTGAAGGCTGCAGGAAAGACCCCAGTCTGAAGAGAGCAATTCATCAGGTTTAAAAGCTCCTCTCTAAAAGATTCATAAAATGACTTAAAAAATGGAGTGGGGACTGGATCTAAAAGACATGTGGTGGGCCTCACTGAGGAGAAAACTTTATCAAGCATCTCAGCATCAACCAGGACAAAACTGTCCAGTGTTTCCTCTGGCGAAGACAAACAATCAGATGTGTTAAAAACAGTAGTGCGGTTGGATAAAATGTTACATCTGATTGTATTTATCTTCCCCGTGAAGTGGACTGCAAAATCCTCACAGAGGGAGTCTGTGGGGGTTAAAAGAGACATGCTAAAATCAGGGTTTAAAATGGTGTCGATGGTTGAAAAAAGGATTTTTGGATTATTTTTGTTCTGGCTGATTAGATTTGCAAAGTATTTGTTCTTATGATTTCTAATTGTGTAATTGTATGCTTTTTGATTGTTTTTATATATTTTGTAGTTGATTGTTGTTTTATTTTTCCTCCATCTTCGTTCTGCCACCCTGCACTCTTGTTTCATTTTGCGTACTTCTTCATTTCTCCATGGGGGTGCAGATTTTTGTTTTTATGATTTTTGTTTTTAAAGGAGCCACCTGATCCAACGCAGAACTAAGTCTACTGTTAAAATCATTTGCTATAAAATCACAGGGGGCAGGTAAAACCAAGTGGGGAGTGTTGTTTAGGATGTCGATGAAATTTGCAGCCACTTCAGGGGTTAGATGTCGCTTCCTCACGGTTCTCACAGAGGTCTCACGCTGTATAAAACCAGTGATGTTAAAAAACACACAGTAGTGGTCCGAGACAGCCAAGTCGACAACAGAGGACACATCCGCAGTCAGGCCATAGGTAATGACCAGGTCGAGGGTGCGTCCCCTGTTGTGTGTTGGCTGTCTGACGTGTTGGGTAAAATCCATGTAATTAAGAACATCTAAGAAATCTAGGGTAAAATTGTCAGAGGGATTGTCAATGTGTATGTTAAAATCACCGGTTAAAATTATCATATTGTAAGAATTGTGTAACTGTGATAAAAACGCTGAGAATTCAATAATAAAAAGGCTGCACTTTTTAGGTGGCCTATAAATAATTACTGTTAAAATTTTGGGGTTGCTAAAAACAAGAGAGTGGTACTCAAAACTTGAGTATTGGTTAAAAACAATAGGTTTGGTGGCCAGGGTGTTACTGCATATTGAGGCTGTGCCGCCACCTCTCTTTCCTTCTCTTGTTTTATGAGCAAAGTTAAAATTGGGGGGGGAGGCCTCTGTAAGAACAGCCGGAGCATCCGGACCCAGCCAGGTCTCAGTTAAAAACATACCATCCAGCTCGTGTTCTAAAATCAAATCATTAACAGTAAAAGGTTGCTGTTCTCTTGCAGGTTCTCTGTAGGGAGTGGATCCTGGGCTGCAGAGCGTACTGGGAGGTGGACTTCTCTGGGTGGGTGGTGCTGGGCCTGGTGCAGGAGAGTGCTCCTCGGAAAGCTCAGGACGGAGTCTGTGGTCTGGGGGAGAACAGCACCTCCTGGGGAGTGGGCTGGTCTGGCTCCTGCTACCAGGTACAGGAGGAGGTCACTCTCTGGTCTCTCTCTGGTCTCTCCGTGGTCTCTCTCCCTGGTCTCTCTCTAGTCTCTCTGGTCTCTCTCTCTCTGGTGCCTCGCTAGTCTCTCTCTGGTGTCTCTCTGGTATCTCTCTAGTCTTTCTCTAGTCTCTCTCTGGTGTCTCTCTGGTATCTCGCTCTGGTCTCTCTCTGGTCTCTCTCTCTGGTCTCTCTCTGGTATCTCTCTAGTCTCTCTCTGGTCTCTCTCTGGTCTCTCTCTCTGGTCTCGCTCTGGTCTCTCTGGTATCTCTCATTCTTCTTGTCTTCTCTCAGATGTGGCACAATGGTGAGAATGTGGATGTAAACCTGCCTCTGTCTGGTACCATGGGTGTGTATGTGGACCAGCCGGCAGGACTGATCAAGTTCCTGGTGGTGGAGGAACCAGAGGGAGGAACCAGCGAGGTGAGAACCATCGGCTCCTTCAGGGCAGAGCTGAAGGAAAAGCTGCTGCCGGCATTCTGGATCGGCACGAGCTCCTGGTGCGTGCTCCGGAAAAAACAGGACTGAGTGGCGGCTGAGGAACCCGCAATTTACACTGACGTCACCACAGTGTGACATCCCCACAGTGTGACATCCCCACAGTGTGACATCACCACAGTGTGACATCACCACAGTGTGACATCACCACAGTGTGACATCACCACAGTGTTAGCCTTAAAGAAGCTATCCCCAATTTTTCATGAAATGCTTATTACTACATACAATTTGTATTATAATCCGCAATTTAATGGAGAACTCGAGCGCATTGATTCAGCTGTGGACGAATTCAGGCCGTAAAAGGTGCTGAGAAGAGACTTAGCGTGACGCCCGCTCTCCTCCAATCACAGAACGAGGCTGCGTCCTCTCGCCTCTACAGCGCAGGTAAACATAGTAGCATGTTAGCAGAATTGGCTAAAACTCCTCTTGCTGTAACTACATACACAGCAAAAAAGAAGAACTCAAGCTCGGGTGAACATAGCTAGCATACATCGTATCCTCCCGAGAGACTTACAGTCTATGGGAGAGACCTGCCTTGGGCCCTTGGTACTCGGTACCCTTTACCCCCCTAGTCCGACGCCTGTGCGCCTCGGACTACATTCGGACGCGACACTAGCGGTAATCTTTCAGTTATATATTTTGTTAGCAGTGCGTTGCTTTTGTACCATTTCATCAGTGATTGTTGTACAGCTTACAAGAATTTGCCCTCACAGCTCCTTTAAAGGAGCTATACCCGTTTCTGTAAGGTTTGAATGTTTAGCCCCGCCCCCAACTCGCTCACAGGCTTCTCATTTCCCCTACGCTCTCATCCCACAGAGCCATCTAGTTGATTGACTGCGGAACCTTCCGCAGTCAACCATTGGTTTTGGTGTTCTTTATTCCGTCTTTTTCCTGATTTTTGACACGTTTCACAGCTTTCACATTTTCAACAATTTCCACAAGTTATACATCAAAACGTTCCACATGTTTGGGAGATTATTGCTATTACTTTTGGGACTTCAGCGATTTCCGGTTTTTCCGCAATCGGACAAAAATTGGTCGATTTTTCCCATTGACTTATAATGGGGCTTCCACAAATTCATAGTTTTCAGAATTTTCTTCAACATTTTCAGCATTTTCTGCAGTTTGTGCATGTTCAGCTTCCACAACTTGTGAGTTTTCAGAAAAAACTAGAAACCGTTGCAATGGCTGAAGCCATTGCGATTGACTGCGGAACAGATCTAATGTGGAATTTAGCTGAAAAATCCTTGAAATCCTTGAAACTGTTAAAATACTTTAAACATCTTTGAAACTCCTGAAGTATTTGAAGCTCCGGATATCCTTTAAACTGTTATCCTTTATACTGGTTTACATGTAAAAACCCCTATTAAGTTGCATTATACTGGTTTACATGGAAAAATCCCCATTAAGTTGCATTATACTGGTTTACATGTAAAAAACCCTATTAAGTTGCATTATACTGGTTTACATGTAAAAATCCCTATTAAGTTGCATTATACTGGTTTACATGTAAAAACCCCTATTAAGTTGCATTATACTGGTTTACATGGAAAAATCCCTATTAAGTTGCATTATACTGGTTTACATGTAAAAATCCCTATTAAGTTGCATTATACTGGTTTACATGTAAAAACCCCTATTAAGTTCCATTATACTGGTTTACATGTAAAAACCCCTATTAAGTTCCATTATACTGGTTTACATGTAAAAAACCCTATTAAGTTCCATTATACTGGTTTACATGTGAAAAACCCCTATTAAGTTGCATTATACTGGTTTACATGGAAAAATCCCCATTAAGTTGCATTATACTGGTTTACATGGAAAAATCCCCATTAAGTTGCATTATACTGGTTTACATGAAAAAAACCCTATTAAGTTGCATTATACTGGTTTACATGGAAAAATCCCTATTAAGTTGCATTATACTGGTTTACATGGAAAAATCCCTATTAAGTTGAATTATACTGGTTTACATGGAAAAATCCCTATTAAGTTGCATTATACTGGTTTACATGGAAAAAACCCTATTAAGTTGCATTATACTGGTTTACATGTAAAAACCCCTATTAAGTTGCATTATACTGGTTTACATGGAAAAATCCCCATTAAGTTGCATTATACTGGTTTACATGGAAAAATCCCTATTAGGTTGCATGATTACACTGAAGTCCTTAATTTTAGATCACTGTTGTAAATATGTGTTTTAGGGCTAGGCCTATTTTATTCATTCTGTATAATGTGTTGCACTGTAGGGAAAAGCTCAACCAGGGACAGGAGTTGAAAATTAGCATTAGCTATACACTCTGTATGTATCGCATCAGCTGCATTTTCATAATGTAACTATGTATGACTACATTGTCCCTGTCAAATAAATGAATAAATAAAATGAAAAAAAAAAAACAAAAAAAAAAAAACTGTTGAAGTCCTTGAAACTGTTGAAGTCCTTGAAACTCTTAAAACCTTGAAACTGCTGAAGTCCTTGAAACTGTTGAATCATTGAAACTGTTGAATCATTGAAACTGTAGAAATGTCTGAAAGAGCTGAAGTCCTATTAAAATGCATGGGCCTATTAAAATGCATTGCAGAATTCTCAATGCAAATTAATGGCAGAATTCCCAAGCCCGTAGAAAAAAACTGGAAAACTGCAGAACTCTAATTTTTTCTGAAAACTCACAAGTTGTGGAAGCTGAACATGCACAAACTGCAGAAAATGCTGAAAATGTTGAAGAAAATTCTGAAAACTATGAATTTGTGGAAGCCCCATTATAAGTCAATGGGAAAAATCGACCGATTTTTGTCCGATTGCGGAAAAACCGGAAATCGCTGAAGTCCCAAAAGTAATAGCAATAATCTCCCAAACATGTGGAACGTTTTGATGTATAACTTGTGGAAATGGTTGAAAATGTGAAAGCTGTGAAACGTGTCAAAAATCAGGAAAAAGACGGAATAAAGAAAACCAAAACCAATGGTTGACTGCGGAAGGTTCCGCAGTCAATCAATTAGAGTTCTGCAGTTTTCCAGTTTTTTTCTACGGGCTTGGGAATTCTGCCATTAATTTGCATTGAGAATTCTGCAATGCATTTTAATAGGCCCATGCATTTTAATAGGACTTCAGCTCTTTCAGACATTTCTACAGTTTCAATGATTCAACAGTTTCAAGGATTCAACAGTTTCAAGGATTCAACAGTTTCAAGGACTTCAGCAGTTTCAAGATTTCAAGAGTTTCGAGGACTTCAGCAGTTTCAAGGACTTGTAATCATGCAACTTAATAGGGTTTTTTACATGTAAACCAGTATAATGCAACTTAATAGGGTTTTTTTCATGTAAACCAGTATAATGCAACTTAATAGGGTTTTTTTCATGTAAACCAGTATAATGCAACTTAATAGGGTTTTTTTCATGTAAACCAGTATAATGCAACTTAATAGGGATTTTTCCATGTAAACCAGTATAATGCAACTTAATAGGGTTTTTTTCATGTAAACCAGTATAATGCAACTTAATAGGGGTTTTTTCATGTAAACCAGTATAATGCAACTTAATAGGGATTTTTCCATGTAAACCAGTATAATGCAACTTAATAGGGTTTTTTTCATGTAAACCAGTATAATGCAACTTAATAGGGTTTTTTTCATGTAAACCAGTATAATGCAACTTAATAGGGTTTTTTTCATGTAAACCAGTATAATGCAACTTAATAGGGATTTTTTTCCATGTAAACCAGTATAATGCAACTTAATAGGGTTTTTTTCATGTAAACCAGTATAATGCAACTTAATAGGGATTTTTCCATGTAAACCAGTATAATGCAACTTAATAGGGTTTTTTTCATGTAAACCAGTATAATGCAACTTAATAGGGGTTTTTTCCATGTAAACCAGTATAATGCAACTTAATAGGGATTTTTCCATGTAAACCAGTATAATGCAACTTAATAGGGTTTTTTTCATGTAAACCAGTATAATGCAACTTAATAGGGTTTTTTTCATGTAAACCAGTATAATGCAACTTAATAGGGTTTTTTTCATGTAAACCAGTATAATGCAACTTAATAGGGATTTTTCCATGTAAACCAGTATAATGCAACTTAATAGGGTTTTTTTCATGTAAACCAGTATAATGCAACTTAATAGGGGTTTTTTCCATGTAAACCAGTATAATGCAACTTAATAGGGATTTTTCCATGTAAACCAGTATAATGCAACTTAATAGGGTTTTTTTCATGTAAACCAGTATAATGCAACTTAATAGGGATTTTTCCATGTAAACCAGTATAATGCAACTTAATAGGGTTTTTTACATGTAAACCAGTATAATGCAACTTAATAGGGATTTTTCCATGTAAACCAGTATAATGCAACTTAATAGGGTTTTTTAAATGTAAACCAGTATAATGCAACTTAATAGGGTTTTTTTCATGTAAACCAGTATAATGCAACTTAATAGGGTTTTTTCATGTAAACCAGTATAATGCAACTTAATAGGGATTTTTCCATGTAAACCAGTATAATGCAACTTAATAGGGTTTTTTTCATGTAAACCAGTATAATGCAACTTAATAGGGATTTTTCCATGTAAACCAGTATAATGCAACTTAATAGGGGTTTTTTCCATGTAAACCAGTATAATGCAACTTAATAGGGGTTTTTTCATGTAAACCAGTATAATGCAACTTAATAGGTTTTTTTTCATGTAAACCAGTATAATGCAACTTAATAGGGATTTTTCCCATGTAAACCAGTATAATGCAACTTAATAGGGATTTTTCCATGTAAACCAGTATAATGCAACTTAATAGGGATTTTTCCATGTAAACCAGTATAATGCAACTTAATAGGGTTTTTTTCATGTAAACCAGTATAATGCAACTTAATGGGGATTTTTCCATGTAAACCAGTATAATGCAACTTAATAGGGGTTTTTACATGTAAACCAGTATAATGCAACTTAATAGGGGTTTTTTACATGTAAACCAGTATAATGCAACTTAATAGGGATTTTTCCATGTAAACCAGTATAATGCAACT